CAGCCAACGACCCTTTCCCAATTCAAAAATCCTTGCAAACTTTACTGGGGCTTAAGATAGCAGAAAGCAGACAGCAGAAATAGATGTTTGGTGTTACACACGAGTTATCACATGTCAGTGGTTTTAATATAATGTCTTATCAGTGCAATATTTGTGTGTGTGTGTTCTGCAGGGTCTCTCTCCCAGAGGAGTCCCCCAGTGCTCCTCCTCAAAATGTCATTGCTAGTGGTCGGACCAACCAATCTATCATGATCCAGTGGCAGCCTCCGCCGGAAAGCCACCAGAACGGCATCCTCAGAGGCTACATCGTTCGGTAAAATCTCCACAGACACCTCCCTGTCTCTTACATTTGTGTGAATGGTTAGAATTTACACAGTGTTGATGGTCCATGTTTTAAAATGAGGGACTCCAAGTGCTTTCTCAAGTCAGTGTAATAGAGATTTGATCATATTTTATATTTAAAGGAAGCTACAAAGTGGTGTGCACATCTATTGTGCTTCCTTTGTCAGTGTTCTTACGTGATGATGGATTTTGTTTTTGATTTGTGACCTTCATATTTTGCATTTGCACTTTCTTTCTGAACAGACACAAGTCTAAATGCTTTTTTACAGCGTTTTGTAAAGTGTAAAATATTCTTCTTGCTTTATTACCAGTGCATATATTATTGATCCATCTATTTTAATTTATGTCTTTGGTTTTGGAGTGGAAAACTACTAGGAGCAGCTCACTTGGAGTATGTTTTGCATCCCTTACCGCCGTATTTAAAGATATACATGCGTATCTTGTCTGTGAGGGGAAAAAACCAAACCAAATTTTATTGCTTGTTTTGCTTTAAAAAAAACTTCAGCAAGTCTATTAGGTAAAGTCAGCAATATGCCAAACTGACTGTAAATCCTGTAGGCATGTAATTAGTTTGGTTTTCTGTCAGGCTTTTTATTCATTACATCCAAATAAAACAGCAGGTGTTTTCCAGACAACAGTCAGTGCTGTCAGTTTTTTAATTGCTTGTTGGCTAGTGCTTTGTCTCCCCCTAGCAGGGATTCTAATGCACTGCTGGGCTCAGGTAAAATAGTAATGTCTTTGTCAGTGAAACAACTAAACTGTCAGAGATAAGGTACAAAATCTGCAAACACACGGACTCTCATCCAGAACAGGTGTCCAATCTTCTGAATAGTCCAACAAGTTTATACATGTCTATCACAGGTATCGTCTCACTGGGCTGCCTGTGGACTACCAAATCAAGAACATTTCCAGCCCAGATATGACCACACTGCTGCTGGAAGACCTCATCATCTGGACCAATTATGAGATTGAGGTGGCTGCCTACAATGGGGCAGGTTTGGGCACTTTCAGCCATAAGGTTACTGAGTGGACCCTGCAAGGAGGTAAGCACTCCATAGCTCTTTCCTTCTTATTTAATGTCTCATTATTCAGTGAGCATGCATGTATATTATTTTTTACTAAATTCAGTCAAGCTTATCTTTAAGATGTGTCAATCAAGCATTCGGTATCTTACAAATACAGTGTAAATCTTTCATTTTATTTTATTTCTGCATATATATTACTGAAATCAGCTCTAAAAGTTAGTGCTAACTGTTATCTTCTTTGTAAGAAATGCAATGACGTGACTCTAAAACCCATAAATATGTCACAGCACTGCAAACAAACCCACAAAGAGTTCTGGTGTAAGGTTTAAGTACCAGAGAGAGAGTAATGGTGGTATCTGCCCTGACCTACGCAGCAGCAATCAATACTGACATCTAAACAGATGCAGGCAGACTTCCAACAGCGAATTGAAAGGCACTGTCACACCCTTGTTTTGTGCCTTCTGTTCTTCTTCTATTTTTTCTTCCGCTCCGTCTCACTTTTTCCTCCTCTCCTCATCCATCCCAGTGCCCACCATAGCTCCAGGCAACGTGCAGGCCGAGTCGGTCAACTCGACAACTATCCGTTTTACGTGGACAGCCCCTAACCCCCAGTTCATCAACGGCATTAACCAGGGCTACAAGGTCAGTAGACGCCGCAGTGTCAACACCACCAGTCATCACATCCATTGGCAGACCTGTCACAGTTGAGCATGTAGTATTACATGTAGCACAGGGGATTGAAAAGCCAGGGGGGTTAACGACATTTGGCGCCAGTGTGAACAATGGATTCTGTTCACCGATTTGTCAGTCTGAGGTCATTCTCTTTATCCTCACGACCATTTCTCATATGTAACTTTGTAAGGCTGCGTGCCCATAATGATAAATGTCTTCATTATTTTGTCAGACGCTCTCAAATGTAGGCTATCTCAGCCCCTCTTGTGTGCACCTTGAATAAATGTAGCCCACAGGGATTCTTGAAACTGCATTCATGGTGCAGTTGTACTTTTCTGCTGACTCCACTGAGACTTAATTATGTGTTTGGGTTTTTCTTCTCTCTCTTTTTGTCTGTCTGTTGAATGGCAGTCCACAAGTCTTAGTCAGCTTGGTGGAAGGGTCATACTGTAAAGACCCAATCTGAATTTTAAATACCAGGATTTTCTCCCGGGAAAGAGACTTAAGAAGCAATGAGAAAAGGGGAGGTAGATAGTGTGGACGGTGATAGAAAGTGTGTCAAAAGCAGAACGGAGAGCTGGAAAATGAAGGCGGACAATCAAGCATTTATCCCGCTGACATCCTCTAGCCAATTCTTTACTTCGCTGGAAGCTCGCTCACTCTGAAAACTGGAAACAACCCAATAGACAACCATTGGGACTCATTACCAAGCAGCTAATTGGTCAATCCAGACCCCATTTGTAGATGCTGTATGGTGTGCAATGATGGGATGCTATCATGTCTCTCTTGAGCCTACATTGGCGGAGTTATTCAGTCACTCTCCCCCAGTCAAAACCTCTTTAGGGCATTTTTCTAAATATATTTGGGAGAGCTATGATGCCAAATCTCTCCTCGGAGTAGCTTAGGACCACCACAGAGAGACACTACTGTTAGTTTTGTGAGAATTATTACAGAAGAAAAAGGATTAGTCGCTTTATTTTCAACCGTGTGGGTAATTTCCTTCTTTCTTTTTTTCTATTTTTTCTTTTGTTTTTACATTGTTTTTCCCCCACTTTAGTTGCTGGCCTGGGAACCTGGCAAGGATGACGAAGTTGCCATGGTAACAGTACGACCGAACTTCCAGGACAGCGTCCATGTGGGATATGTGACAGGTCTGAAGAAGTTCACCGAGTATTACACCTCTGTGCTGTGCTTCACCACACCCGGAGACGGCCCCCGCAGCCCGCCTAAAGCATTGAGGACGCACGAGGACAGTAAGTGACTTTTCTTCCACACTTTTGCCTCTCCCACGGCGGCATGGGGACACATGCATCTCACAGTAACACATCCTTTGGGCAAGATCTATTATTCATGTAGTAAGGAGTTGTAGAAAAGTGCTAATGAATGAGTATATTCGGCATCATCATAATTGGGATATAGTTCTTTACAGAATATTTGCGAAGTGTTAAAAATTCCCAGAGTACCCCGGCTCATATTTGCAGGTTTTTCTTTCTTCTTTTTTTTCAAATTTTAAAATCCAAACTCTTAAGATGTCAGCAATGAGTGGCTATTTCCAAATCCTAGTCAATCACCTGTACAGCCGTGGCTCAAAGCCTCTTAGGCGTGCTCATTATTCTTATTTGTTCCTATTCAGCCCCCGGTGCAGTGGGTCATCTGAGTTTCACCGAGATCTTGGACACCTCACTCAAAGTCAGCTGGAGTGAGCCCAGCGAGAAGAATGGAGTTCTCACAGGTACATTCACATAACTCCCAAATTATACTTGTAGCCAGAGGCAGAAAAGGTGAGAAATAGCACTTTTTTTTTTTCCAAGGTGGTATTTGTCAGAGTTGGGTTGACAGACACCAGTCGCATGAGGCAGTGCTCAGGTTGAACTGAGACCGGAGGATTTGGTTTTATATTGCAGCTGCTTGAACTCATTTAGTGAAGCCAGCCCAGGAGAGGTTCTTTATCGTTAGTTGTTGTTTTTCTTTGTTTTTTTGTGGGGGTTCATGCACATACCGCTTCCCAAGCCACAGACAGAATATACCAGCAATAAGACAACACTTGAGAAAATAAAAAAAAAAAGAAAGAAAGAGAAGAATATTTGAAAAATGGCATTTTTCCGCCAACATTGTCTCCTCTCCCAAGCTCTCCATATGAAATATCTCTCAATAAGGCTCCCTTTGAGAGACATTGCTCAAGTCTTTTGCAATCGTAGAAGAAATATACAGAAATGTGACCATTTTACTATGAAGTAACTTAGTAATAAAAGGGCAAAAAGTCCTTAAATTATCATACATAATAAAGCCCAATAAAACATCACATTGACTGATGAGATAGATCATTAAAGTGCTTCTTTCAGTGGTAAGTGTGCAGAAATGGTTATTTGGCTTTTCTTAAAATTACATTCCCTACTACTCAGTGATTTTTCTATAATACTGGCCAATATACTGTTTCTATTATTTTTCATGCAACCACGCCATCGACTTATCAGTCGCTTAATGTGCAGTAAATCTTTCACTCCATCAACTCACATGCAGAATGTTTTTTTCTTGAGTATTACGTTAAAAAATCTAGCTAACAAATTGTTAAATGTTTGCACAGCTTGATATTTAGCAGCATCTTGTAAAGTATTTCCCAACATTTCAATGTGTTGCACGCTCCCAGGAGACAAACACTGACGTGCCATGTGAAATTATTGATTTGGCAAGAAATGCTGCTTAATGCTTTGTGCAATCACATGAAAAGAGCTGCTGGCCAAGGGAGCAAATTGCATTAACTTTGAGCGGGCGAGCATGTGTGTCTGTATGTGTGTATGGGAGTGGGCGGAGGATGCGTGAGTGCAGGGAGGTATAATCACAGGCTTATTTAATTTGCTATATTCAATTTTTGATGAAGTTAATTTAATATTTCTGTTAGCTTGCCCTGTAGCATGCAAGCCTGGAGTTGCTATTGTAGTAAAACTGCTGTCAGATTTTCCCTCGGAGGATTCTCTGTCCGTGTCCACTCATCACTGCCTTTTCTTAGGTTACCGCATTTCTTGGGAGGAGTACAACCGAACAAACACCAGAGTCACCCACTACCTGCCCAATGTCACCTTAGAGTACAGGGTCACCGGGCTCACTGCTCTCACCACCTACACTATTGAAGTGGGAGGAATGACCTCCAAGGGCCAGGGCGTGCTGTCCTCCTCCACCATTTCCTCTGGTGTCCCACCAGGTTAGTAACCAAGCATTCACTACAGATACATGAGAGCCTGTATGCCCATTTTTTTTTTATTCCAGATGATATGAAAGAGTAATTAAAAAAAAACTCTGTCAATAAAAGAAGCTTTTAGACTTAAACTGCAGCACTGAACTTTTCTAAACATCACCAGGCAGAGGTGCACACGACAACACAAATTCCTGCAGTATATTGAATGTTAAATAGTCTTTAACCTCCTAGCTCATACTACAAGCCTGAGTGGTGTCAGCTTGCATCAATTCCTGCGAGTATGAGAAAAGCACTGAAAGTTCAGTGACTTCACAGCTTGCGAGTGGTCAGCTCCTCCGGCAGAACGCTTTCCCCCAAAAAACAAAAGACAATTTTCCTGATTCTTCTGACACTGTCTAAAGTTCATGTGTGAGAATGGATACACACTAGATTCTACATTTCCCACATTGCAGTTGCATCTTTAATTGTGCCACTAAAGTCCCTCTCCAAAATGTCAGTTTGTATTGGGAGCTCCTGTTTTGATGTTCACTCAGTCTCATTGTAGACATCGTCAGCATTCATTTTTTTCCGTACTTGGAGAGCGCCCTCTGGAACAGAAGACGTTACACAATTGTGTTGAGGCTAAGTATCACTCATCCTTGGTTGAGTGCTCTTGCAAGAAATAGTCCCTGTAAAATCTGTTAACGGTTCATGTCTATTATGAGGAGAGGTGGTGGCATGTTGTGGAAGCGAATGAAAGTACGCTTTTACATGACACCTGAAAAAAGCAAGTGTTAGAAAAATTGATTGACATTACAAGTGCCATAGCATTTTTTTTTTTTTACATACTCAGACAGTATCTACCTTTATCCGCATGCCTTGATTCTCAGGCAGTGTGCAGTTCCAATTAACAATCATAAAACCTTTCCAAGCTCAATTAATTCTTAAGTCAAAATTGTGTCTTTATTCAAATTAATGAGCAGCTGGGGACCTTTACTGAACCTTCCCTTCCTGTAGATTTACTGTCACGCATTGAACTCGGTGCACACACTCAATGTTGTCTGGCGCCAGACACAATGAAATCTGACCCCGGTCACCTCATCTAGGACAGAAGCAAAAAAAACCCAAAACCCTGCACATGCACGTATCTCCCCGACATTCGTGAAATAATAGCTCCCTCGATAGCATTAAGGATGATTACAGTGTTTAATGATTTCATATTTGCAAAACGGTGCAACAGAAACACAATGCCCACGTCAATTACTGCAGCTACATTTAGAGGCTGTACATCTGTGAAATCTGTGAAATGACAGGCTGTTTTATTGAGAACAGGCCTTAGTGTAGCACTTACGTTCAGAATAGCAATTACTCCCATTGTATAGGTATAAAGAAAACGCCTATGTGCCTGCAACTGTACTGTAATGACCCAGCTAAAAGCAGCCTCAGTAATCTGTCATGCAAATAATTTAGAGGTGGTCATTTTACAGCGACACATAATCTGCGTTTCATTATGATTGAATATACTCACATTTAAGCAATCTTGGAAAAAACTGTTTAGTATCCCCATGGCAATGATGATATCTTTTTTTAAAAAAATACTGGGTCATACCGATGGGCTATGGTTTGGATTATAGTTAACATAAATTCAACTAGAATTTATGTTAACTATATTGCGCTTTGGGAAGAGGGGCTTGCCTAGTAGGTTTAATATTTTAAAAAGTATGAGGTTAAAAATGAATAATGAATCCGTTTTTGCACTCGCATAAATTATCCAATCCTACCTAGACAAGCACAAAAAGTGTTGATATTCATATACGCAGAAATGCTTTCTTGCTGTTCTTTGAATTCACCATATTCAAATTTCCCCCCCCCCCTTCTCCAGGATTACCAGTGCATAATACATTCTTATTGTTTATTTAGCTCAAGTGTAAACAAGTAGGATATCAGATTGAATCATATATCCAGATAACTGCAGTGTAATTGACATTCATGGCATTGTCTCTATCTGTGTACTGTGTGTAAGCATCTTTTCCAAATCTAATCTTGTTTTTGGTGTCTTGGCTGAAGGTGGGAGCACTCGGGAGAGAATAGGATGAGATGGCGGAGAAATATGTGTGCAGTATCTGTTCTGCCACAAGAGGGTGCTGTGGTTGATGGATTTTCCTATGTAGTACACAGACTCAACAACTTGCCCTGTGGAAGAGGCAGCAAGAGAAAAATATCCATATCTTAGTGCACATTCTCCAGTGACATAGTAACATCAGCCCAGTTATTGCTTTACGTGACTCTTTTAATTGTTTTGTTTGTTTGTTTTTTGCTTCCTCGCAGAGCTTCCTGGCCCTCCTACCAACATGGCAATTTCCAATATTGGCTCACGCTCCATCAACCTGCAGTTCAAACCTGGCTATGATGGCAAAACTTCCATTTCCCGCTGGCTAGTGGAGGCCCAGGTGAGCCAGATTCTAACTGGAACTAATAATTTATTTATTTTTTAGTTATGTTTAAAAAGTTTAGTAAAAATTCACTACTTTCCTCAGTTCCTCAGAAAGAGAGGTGCAGCATTTGACTCCTCTGTTGTCTTGTTCCCAGGTGGGTGCAGTAGGAGAAAATGAGGATTGGTTGATGGTCCACCAGGTGTTCAACGAACCTGAGGCTCGCTCCTTAGAGGTGCCAGGTCTCAACCCATATACCTCTTACAGGTAATGACTGGAAACCAGAAATTTGATGCACCTGAGAGATAAAGTCCACAGATTTTTGTTCCAAAATTATTAACTACAAAGTACTTCTGCAGGCATACTACACATTCACCTCAGTACACATTCCCCTGTGGCAGAACACATGCTGAAAAGAACAAATAAAAACTGATCTGCTGCACTGTACTTTTGTACAGACACACAAAGTCACATCAGTATTAGTGTTAACAACTTAGCAATGCCAGTTTTAATTGAAAGTAATCATGTGCCATTTGTGTATGTGCACTTTCATTTCAGCATGTCCCAGCAGCTTATCTTATTATGTTTTCCTTTAATTTGAATTCAAGATTATTTTAAAAGTTTTTTTAAGCGTATGCCTGATTTTTATCTCGGCTTGTTTTTCACGATCGCATTCGATATAAGCAGTTAGCATTTCACTGAGCCAATCCCTAAAGGCTCACAACAGCTATAGTTCTCATCATTCCAACATCAGCGCTGCCACTTTTCATTTCAATATAGTTAAATGCAAAAAAATTGTTGTTTTGCATATTCAGGCCATAACGCAAATAAGCCCCCCTCTCAGCATATTCATGCTTTATTCATATTCAGCGCTCTGATCTTGTTCAAATGCAATAAGCCTCATGTAAGAGGATGCAAGTGCGACTATAATGCTGATCATTGCAGGTTCATTTTAAGCTGCCAGATTCCCAGTTTCAGGACTACAGCTGAAATCAAGTAAGTGTTTTCTCAAGCGAGATTCATGTTATGATGTTCAAATCCATATATAGGTTTCGGATGCGTCAGGTGAACATAGTGGGTACCAGTCCTCCCAGCCAGCCCTCCAGAAAAATTCAGACCCTACCAGCTCCTCCCGACATGGCCCCTGCCAACGTCACCCTGCGCACCGCTAGTGAAACAAGCCTCTGGTTACGATGGATGGTAAGGAGAAATCTTTTTCTAAAATGCCAGTTTTTGTTAGTGATGAGTTGAAGGAAACAGGCCTGTTAGTCAGTCCAATCTCTCTTAATGTGAACACCATCTCCTTCCCCTCAGCCTTTGCCTGAATGGGAATATAATGGGAATGCAGAGCAGGTGGGCTACAGGGTTCAGTACTCCCGTGCAGGCTCACAGGGCCATCCACTCACCCATGTTATTACCGACCGTCTGGAGAGAGAGTTTACTATTGAGGACCTGGAGGAGTGGACAGAATATGAGGTCAGGGTCCAGGCTGTCAACGGCATTGGAGTGGGACCCTGGAGCCAACCGGTCAGAGGCAGGACACGGGAGTCTGGTGAGTTCCACGC